CCACCGAGCCAAGGCATGCACTCCCACTGTCCACTTAATAGCTACTCCTGCTGCTTGTCACATTCTTGCTACCCTACGTTAAAGGTCCAGCATAAAGAATGAGAAGCATTGATTGAAAAATTTTTTATAATTATTTTCTTACTTTAGATCTTACTAGAGGCCTGATGCATGAAATTCGTGCAAGAGTAGGCCTTCCTTCCCCCAGCTGCCAGCACCGGCTTCCCCCTGACACCGGGACCCAGGCTTCCCTCCAGCCCCAGCTTCGTCCAGAATGATGTCTGGTCTAATTAGCACATTACCCTTTTATTATTATAGATAATTGACAAATCTATCTGATATATGTTATTTCTGGAGTCACTTACCTGTTCCTAATTGTCTATGAATGAGTAGTAGGAGAGTGCTTATTGCTATAATTTTAAAACCTCTAAGGCTTTTACTTAAGTCTAAGGATTTCATCACAAAAGATCCCAAGTCTGGCTTCTCTCAGCTATTGACCAAAATTTTAACAGGACTCTTTTTCTTTTAGCAGTTACTTAAACTTTTGCAGCTACTGGACTTTCAGGTTTCGGAAATTATTTATTCAGTATCCACTCAACAAATATTTACTTTTTTAAATGGCACTGTGCCACACACTGGGGCACAGAGATGAATAAGATACACTCCCTGCTCTCCATGGCAATTATGTATGGCAGCCGGTCTCCGACAAGGCCTGTGTGCCCGTGGGGATACTCGCAGGCTTCCTCAGGGGGCCTGGGCATGAATATGCTAACAGAATCCATTTTCAGGTCCTTAAACCGACCTGCCAGGAATGTGCTTGCAGGGCAGTCAAACCAGTCCTACTTTTCCACTCCTTTCCCAATCACCCTGTCCCCACTTCACAGAAGACAGAGCGCTTACCCATGATGCATGCTGCATATTGCTCCAGTTGTGCCAATATCACATGCTACCTCCATTTGAAAAAAAACAAGGGAACAATGAAAATATTAAAGGAAGTCTCCTATGACTGAGGTGCTATAACTCTCCCAAACTTCTCATAAATAGATGCATCTCTAATACATTTTTATTCTTAAGCAAATTATTTTTTTCACATTTGTAATATAAGTGTATTTTGACCACTTAGTTACTAATAATTATTGTATTATAAAATGCAAGATGGAAAAACATTTACTACTTAGAGACTGATGTTAGGAAAATTTGTTCAGTTAAAATTTCAATGCATATGCTTATTTTTGTTGCAGAGAAATGTGATAGGGTGACAATAAAAGAATTTCACACATAAAATGTTTTATATTACTACATAAAATAAAATTCTATGGGAAAATAGAGTGGAAATATAAATTCTAGAGGGAAAAGAATCAATTTATAATTTTCAACTAAAAGAATAAATTATTCATGTGGTTTTTTCTGTGGGTGATGAATGGGCATTAAATGCCATTGGCTTTTAAATTCCCTTAGATATGTTTAATATATAAAAGAATGTTATGACATTACATTAAAATTCGATATTTACAAATATACAGAACATTACATCTTTTGTTACCATGGAAATTTGCGATTTTAGGTATCAATACTTTTAACACTAAAGTTTTTTTAAATAAATAAAAAAAATCTTATAAAGCAAAATATAGAAAAACAGCTAAAAATAATAAATAATAAATTAAAGTACATAAAAAGTATAAGGAAAGCATCATTTTTAAAAATTATTTTCAAGAGTAAATGAAGAAACCTGTGAAGATCACTGACACATGAGAGCAAGGCCAGGGAACAGAGTTGTCACAAAGTCTTTTAGGCACTGGGATAGGAAGAAGCTTGAACTGGGGTATGGAGCTAGGAGAGGGAGCTGTCAGTTCTCTTTGGAGAACCAGGAAGGTCTTCCCTAACAAATGGTAATGGTTTATCTCAAAAAAAAAGAAATGTGTGGTTTGGCTGGTGTGGCTCAGTGGTGAGCATCGGCCCAGGAACCTACTGAAGTTAGTGAGCTCCTGAGGGTAGCAATTTTTGTCATTAATCTTTGGATCCCCTGGGCCTGCCCTAGCACCTGGCATAATAGTAGCACTCAATACATATTAATGTTTCAACCATTGATTAGGGACATGGTAGGAAATTCTGTCAGATAAACAAGTCACATTCTGGCAGCTTAGGGAGTGTGGACTGAAGGAAGCACTGCAATGAAAGGAAGGGGTAGACATAAGTGATGTCATGTTGGAAGAACCAACAGGCCTCAGAGACTGATGGGATGGGAGGACTGAGCGTGGCTGGAAGATGAGTTCTCCCCAAATACAACCGAAATCTACTCAACTCCTAACAATCAAACTGCAGGGGTTTTCACAATGAAACCAAATTTGGAGGGAAAGATTCCAGGCTGGATTTACAAACTAACATCTAATTAAAACAAGCAACCATAGACTTTTGAAGCAGCGACTATACATTATTTTTGGAGAAGCAAGCATCACTACAGGCATTCTCCAGTTTGTTAATTTCCGGCTTCTGAATGTTTGGATGTGGCCCCACAGAGGAAATTCTTGGGAGGCAGCTAGGTGTGTGTGCAAAGCTTAGGTCTTGACAACTGGCAGGCCTGGGTTTAAGGCCTTCCTTAGCCCCTCACTAGCTATGCAAACTCTCAGAGAAACCCGAAACTGTATTACCTATGAGTTAATGATGAAAATAGTAGAATTATGTAAAGATTAAATGAGACCGTGTAAACTGGGCGCTTCATAATTGTTAGTTCCGCTTTCCTGTGCTGCCCTTCTTTTCTTATTCTCTAGGATCCCCTGAAGTACCCCAACTTCCAACACAGTTCTAGCCAAAACATACTTTTATTTATAGCGACTGCCCCAGAAAGGTTGTGTTTATAATCGAGTACTCCATTGTCTTTTATTCTGTGCCAGCTTCTAGGCCCCCTCAGTTTCTTTCCATCTCCCTGGTGCTCATCTCCAAATATGGTTTCGCCAGCAAATTTCCAAGTATCCTGTTATTCTGTCTTTGAAAAGATTATTAATGGAGATGTTAAATCAGGCTGACATAAATAACAATGCTTAAAGCAATCCTCCGGACACTTTTGTTCTACTCATCAGAGATATGGTGTCATCTATCATTAGGTCTTGTTACAGCTTTCCAGCCCCTTAAAAACTCACACGAAGACACTCATTTCACTTGAATTAATCTTGCAAGTGACCGCTCATGAGTTACGGAATTATATGTCACCACAAGATAGAACATCTGTTACATCACACTAACCTATCACTTTCTTCCCTCATAAATCTTGACGGTCAAAACAAATTAGTCTAGCATGTTATTTCTAATAAACAGTCTCTTTTGTTGTGTGTGGCTCATGCCCAAAAGGAGATAATAGACCCGTTGATAAAAGTAACAAAATCTCATCACTGGTTCCAACATAGTCAAGTGATAAATAACGAATAATGACTCTTTGGCGAGGAGAGGAATGAATAGCACTAAAAGAGCGCTTACAGGTCAGTATCAGACTGTACCTCATGGAACTAAATCCTACAGCGTCCCGGAGAGAAATTGCTGTCTGAGCTCAGAACCAAATATAGTGGCAGTTTTCCTGAACTTGCTTTTTCCTAATAGATCGTTGGTTGTGTTACTCACAGAGGTTCTCTTTTCTCACTTCCTGAAAAAGTTGAGCATTATATGGGTGGCTCCGTTATAGCAGCGGGAGGCATAATGATGGAATATTTTCCTCTCTCTCTCTCCATTTAGACTCCATGTTGTTTTATTTGTTTCTTTCCCCTCACCTTTTCATTTCATTGTGGCACAATAACACAATATAAAATTTACCATGTTAACCGTCTTAAGTGTGCATTTACATTGCTGTGCAGTCGCCACACCATCCCTCTCTAGAACTCTTTATATCTTGCAAAACTGTGCACCCATTAAATAATAACTCCCTATTCCCCCAGCCCTGGAACCACCATTCTTTCTATCTTCATGAATGTAACTACTCTAAATACCTCATATAAGCAGAATCATGTAATTTCTCCTCACTTTTAATGAATGCTATCTTCCTGTATTTTTTCTAAGTTTTATAACCCCCACTTGAAACAAAATGGAGAATGAATAAATAAACAAATAAGGAAATAGAGCAAAATTATTTCCAAGGACCTAGATGAGTCCCATTCTACATGTATACATATCAAGTCAGTAGTAAGGCCATAATGTTTGCTGACTAGAATAAAACACTGGATTGTAAGAAATATTCATTATTTCAATAGTTAATGTTCAGACAAGCAGCATATTTAAGATAACAGTGGGGTCAAAGGAGAGACTGAACATAGTAAAAGTTCCTGCAAGGAAAGAAATATCAAGATAATGGAACAAGGAAGCAATTGTAGATTCAAACTGAGAACGAATGGGCTAAGTGCCAAAACACTAGGTCATAAAGATTACGGACAGACCTGTCCCTATCGCAGTGGGTCGCAAACTTTAGCGTACATAGAAATTAATCGGTACAAACCCACCAAACCAAAACTGTATTGACTGGGCCTCAGGAGTCGGAGTATGTCATCAGCTTCCCAGGTGGTTTACGGAGAAGGTTTCCTATGCGTGTTGACAAACAATGGTGAGTGTAGTAGATCAGAGAGACTGTGAGGCCTGCCTCTATTTGGTTGAGTCGTATAATCTTGGTGTATCTTATGCATATGGCCCCATGGTATCCATTACTACCTTTTTGTATCTGCTTCACTTTCTTCTACATCGAGTGTTGCCTGACCAAACTAGCAAAAACAGTGGCTGAAGCAGGAGTGAATGACACTAGAAATAGACCTTCATTCAGTCCTCCACTGTAGGGCCAGCAAGGGCCACTATCCTATCATCCGTGTAGCCTTGAGAATAGGCCCTATGATTGTTTTATTTTGTGTTGCTTTTTCAGTCTGCCTCTTTGTCATCAAAAGGGGGCAATGCTGGCCTCAGGGAAGCTGTGTTCAGCATGAACGATCAGTATGTAGCTTCTCTCTCGTTTATAGCTTTAATTTTCTCTCTAGAATATGTCTGTGCTGGAAAATCACCATTGGCGATCTACAATTGGCATGCTTCGAGAATCCAGGCTTCTTGCTCACTTGCCAAAGGAAATGACGTAAGTAGTGCAGAGATGAAACACACTGATGTCCACACATAAGAGATAAGCCGCTTTCTCTAGGGCACACTCGAGACCCCCCGGGTTAATGGTAGGGAGCCAGCTCGCTGTGCTTCCTGCCTGCACTCCGCATTGTCCATCAGAGGAGATTCATGTCAGTTACGGCAACCCAGAAGCCAGAATCTCTCTGTGAGCTTTGAAAGGGCCTTGAATCGTCTCTGACCTCACGTCAGGAAAAGGAGAATAAACAGCCCTCCCCTTTCACACTCTTCAGCATCAACACTCTGCTTTGCCAAATTCCTGTCTTTTCTGTTAACAAAATTGTCCTCCTGTGTAGACACAAATAATAAATATTTATCAAAAAAGAACACAGGAGTTCTCAAGCTAGCTTTAAGACTAGTTCAATGACGTTTGTTTCATAATTGCCAGTCTCAGCGAAAATAAAAGTCAGGAATTTTTTTCTAAAATGTCTTTTGTTAAGTAACTGAGTTGGCCCAGCAATTTTTTCTCCATCAATTTATGCAGGTCTGTGGTATTTAAAACAGAATGGGAAATACTAGTTTCCTGGTCTGCTGTTTGTTAGCCCGAGTATTTAGGCCTAGTCCCACTAAAGCCAAGGCCAAGGCCCTTGCCTCACTGAATGCATGGCCCCAAGGTAGCTGCTGTACTGTCTACCTAGGCCAGCACAAATTCTGATCTGTGAAATTAAAATGCACAAACCCGAGGTAGCTAAGAGAGAAGTAAATAAATAGGCTTCTGTAACCTTCTTTCTGAAGGGCACACAGCGTAAGGTCAGGTTATGTCTCCCCATAAAACAGGCACTATGCTCTGGGCTCCTTGGCTTATTCCTGGCCATCTGATATTATCTCATGCTGTTTCCTAGCACCCGGAGGAATGTTGAATTTGCAGGAAGAATTTCAGTTCTGATAACTTTTTACTCCCAGAAACTAAAAAGCAATCCTCATGCATGAGATCAAAACTTGTGTCTTTTACTAAAACAATACATTGCAAAGATCAAGGAAATGCAAAAAGAACTAAGAACTAGAACAAGAAATCATGTAAGAAGGAGATGAAATAGGAGGTTAGTGGCAAGGTCAGCTAAAGAAAGAAAGGAGAATGGAGGGAAGGAGAATGAGGACAGGAAAAAAACAAAACAAAAGGAAAAACAGAGGACTTGTTCCGATAATGCCCACATTAATTCTGTGTTTCTCAGTTCATATTCATTTCCTAAGATACTCCTACTCATCCCTATGGATTCCAAATAAAAGTCCCACATTTTTTATTTCTTTATGGAATGTCTTTGCTTTTGCTAAAAGAATCATTGGTATGCAATAATATATGTGAAAGGGCTTTATAATGAAATTTATCATCATCGTAACAGGATTATTCCTTCTATCCTCATGTAAATGCTTTAAAATAATTTTTTCTGTTTTTAAAAGTAAAGGTTAACTGTACAAACTAAGGAAAGTTCAGAAAAGAATTAGCTTAACCATAAATTTAAAAACATAGATTAAGCTACACTAAAAATTAAGACTTCATTTTACCAAAAGACATCATTTTTTAAAAGTAGAAAGACAAGCCATATTATGGAAGGAGATATTTGCAACACATAATTGCCAATGACTATCATTGAAAAAATATTTTAAAACTCTCAGAATCAGTAAGCAAAAGGGAGAGAACACCAGAGAATAACAGAAACTTCACAAAAGAAGAAATATCAATGGCAAATAAACACATGAAAATATGTCCTACCTCATTTTAATAATCAAGGAAATTCATATTAAAACTATAGGAGTTGCATGACAACTCCCAGATTGACACTTTTGTTTTATTTTCTCTATACCATTTTTTACTAATATATTGCTTGCCCATCTATTTTTAATGGTGCCTTAATCAACCACTATCATTTTTAAGTTCCAGTATCTGTTTCCAGCCTACCTGGGTTTTTTTCCATTTATCAATCTTTCCATCCCACAGTATCAGTCACTACTATGTCTTTATTATTACTGTTATTATGCTCTTCTTTCCCCATGGAAATCTTAACATTTGAGCTTGTTTCAACTCTATAAAAGCACAACCCAAACTCCTATGATTCTGTGAGTCTTTTTGTCCTCCGTAAAGCATACATTTCTACTTCGCTTTCAATTTTTCCACCCATGGGAACTGTGAAAATGTAAAAACTACCACAACTTTGTTCACCCGAGGTTTCGATCACTCTCTACAGTTCTTGGTCTGAGGGCAGAAGCCATGGTGGGTGAGAAATTCACTCTTGCTCTGTGAGGGACTGGAACATTGTGTAATAAACAATATCAAAGGCAGGAATGAGATTGCAAGCCACCTGTTGATGACAGAATCAATCGCCCTCCTCAAAAGGATTTTCTCTCTGTGTGTGTTTTCTCTTTCATTCTTGTGGATGCAGACAGGATATTGAACAGCAACTGGGCTCCTTGATCTTGGCAACAGACATCAACAGGCAGAATGAATTTTTGACCAGATTGAAAGCTCACCTCCAAAATAAAGACTTAAGGCTGGAGGATGTACAGGACAGGCACTTTCTGCTTCAGGTAAACAACAACAAAGCCATTATTCTTGCTGGGGTAACAACACACAGTGACACGATCAATAATGTTAGCACATTTGAGAAGGAGTATCTCCCGTGGTATGAGTTAGAGCAGTGGCCTACTTTATGAAAAGCTTTGAGACACATGAAATTTTTAAGTGGTTTCCAAGCAAGCAAAATCTGCGTTTCGTGTCAGTAAGTTGATAATATCTCACTCTTCCTTGTTTGGTAACTGCTTCACCACAAAGTAGCCACCCCTCTGGGCAGTTGCACACAGTAAGAATCTACCACATCTTGTTGCTTGATGTAAAATTGACCACTGTGATACCTGTGCAGTTTTAAAAGGCTGTTTCTATAACACAAAAGTATATTATGTTAACTATGGTACAAATAAAAACTTAAGAAGCAAGTAACCTTCCTTTATCTAAAACCTATTTAATCAAACCCTGCTTTACTTAAAGTCATTACTACCTAAAGTCATATTTTCATCTGAGGCTCAAACATTTTCTCTCTGTGTGTGTTTACCAAGTCTTAGCATTTTTAGGCACCAATAATTAAATTGTTTCAACTGAATTAATTAAATCATATCAAACCCAACCCTTTCTGTGTCATTCTATGGCAAGAAGCCACTTGCAACCTGAGAAAAAGAGGAGGAGTGGACGCCAGAAGTAGAACTCTGAGTTGGTATCAAACCAGCGCCTTCTTCTTGATCCTCCATTTTCTTTTGTCTTCCTTTTGGCACAAAAGACTGAATGGATGGACCCTGGACTCATCTGAATAGATCAGCTTTAACCAGGGGGCTGGAGCTGCAGGTGGCAGACTGGACTGTGCAGTCTTTTCTGCTCCATGCCTCCATGCTGCCCCCTAGCTGTCCAAAGTGACCCTCCTTCCCAGGAAATGCTCTCCTGCAGCCCTGTATCTTCTTCCTTCCTCTTCCCAAATTAGTCTTCTCTTCCCTGAGTGCCACAAAGATCAACCAGGGTCTGATTTTAGAGACTCAAACCAAGTTGTGAGTAGCTGAAAGATTTGGCCTGAGCACTTGCATTTCAAAGGGAAAGCTAGCTAACACAAATAAATTTGGAGGGGACTTCTGCCCCTTATCTACTCCAACATGTACTGGTGCCCCCATTAGCCAGGAAATAGAGAAGCAACCAAATTTGCAATTTAATATAATGCAGGCTCTCCCAGACCCCAGCACTGTTAGCAGCTCTATAATCCCAGGGAACTGGATCAAAAGAAACAGACCTTGTTGGTGAGCAAGACATACCACAGGAGCCCATCTGGGCTGTGGTCTCTCTGCAGCTGGTGGTAAGGGGCAGAATCTACTTCTCTGGGAACTCAAGGTAATCCTCCTAGGATCAACATCACCAAGAAAGTGACATCCCAGATCCAGGCCAGTTTGAGGCAAGCTGGGAGGCCTCGATTTAGTTCTGCAAATGAAACACTCCTAGCTTGATATGACCTAGCTCCCTGGCTGACAGTCCGAGCTTGTTCACACACACAGACACGGGAACATAAATGCAAACACACATCATTTAAGTGATCCATGCGGTTGGCCATTTTGGCCACTGTGAGAGTGAGGTCCAAATGATCTCACTTGAGCCTGGCTGGGGCCCCGGTGGCCTCCCTCCCTGTGAGAGGTGGGGCAGCAGAAGGAACCAGGCCCTGGCTTTCCTTGGCCAGCACACCCCAAGTCTCCTCCAGAAAGCTCTGTGTCCTTGGACGGTGGCTCTTCTCTCCTTCTCACTGCTATAAAGTGGGAATTCTGAATGAAGGGTTTGTGTGTGGTGAAGAAGTGTTGTTTCCTGAAGAGACACATCAGGGAGGCCCTGTGTGGACATGGTCCTGGCACCAGGAGGCACTCTGGCGGGTTGGACAGCCCCCTGGGCTTGGGGTGCATTTGCTGCTGAAAGATCACTCTCTGACAGTCTCTGCCTGCCCTGTCACTTCTCAGATTGCCTTGAAGTGTGCTGACATTTGCAACCCCTGCAGAATCTGGGAGATGAGCAAGCAGTGGAGTGAAAGGGTCTGTGAAGAGTTCTACAGGCAAGGTTAGTTGCAAGCCTACAGCTGCGTTTTCACGACCCCTCCTCCTTTCAGGCATTTGTCCTAATAAAACAGGAAGTGGCTAATCTATCATGACATTTGTTCTTTCATCAACTCTTATTATCCTAACCTTTCTCTAACTCTCTTGCGAACCATCCATTCCTTTTTTGGAAATAATTTCAAAATAAATAACATTGACTTATTACAGAAACAGGTAGTAATGAGGTGCAATAAAAGTGAGTGAGAAAGGAATATATATTTTTTTAATGGTTTCCCTCTGTGGATATAAAAATGTGAGGGACAGTTTGATTTTTACCCTGACCTTCATTTTAATGAGCTGAGCACAGCCTAAAAGCTAAATGCCATCCGCGGTCAATGTTTTCCACTCTGACAGAAGGCCTTCACTCCTTTTGTGTTCCTTCCCCCTCGCTTTCTCAAATAAAGCTAATAATGAAATAGAACATCGCTGGCCAAGAATTAATTTCCTCCTCTCACATAGATACATGTAAAGTCAAATGGCCCCAAGTTAGGGTATAAAGTTTAAGAGATCAAACTCATTCGGAAATAAGGCACAGAATTTGAGCAGGATCTTGCCATCAGGTGGGATATCAGCCTTTGCACACAGTTTTGCTTCTCCTGGCCTGGTTTCCATGCTCAGGATGTTTGTTCAGGCGCAACAGTGCCCTGATGTTAGTGACGGGATCAGGTGTGAGCGGCTGAGAACAAATAAAGCCTGATGTGTCCCACATACCAGCTCTGGGGGAGGTCAAGTAGCAACAGTGAGCCTTTTGGAGAAGCCTCCATCTAAAGATGTGTCAGTGACATTGTAATGGCCCTGAAGACAGAAGACAAAGCAGAATGGATTAGGTTGTGTGGGGCCAAAAGGCTCTACTCACCGCCTCTTTTGCTCAGAGGAAAAGTGCTCACGTGGCTCCCACAATCTGTGTCATTTCACTGCAGTTGGGTGTAAGTGGTTACAAATCAAAAAGGTCAGTTCTAGTTGCCCGTGATATAAAATCTCCACTGAGGGAAAAACAAAGGAAAATAGGATGAAATTGGAGCAGAGAGGTTGCAGATTTGATATGATACTTCCTTTACTGTGGGATATAGAAAATATTGGGATAGCAGAGTGAGAGGAGGGCTAGGTTCTTCGTTCTTGGAAATCAAACAATGGAAAAGAGAAGAGATTCCACTCTGTCCCTCTTGGTTTTGACTCAATCATGAGCTCCTGTTGGCATTTATTGCAGTTTAACCCCTTCCTTTGGTTAGCTTGCACTCTTATTTGGACTATGAGCAACTCGGGGACCCTGTCACCTGGACAGATTGTAAAGTCCACCCAGTTAGTGCATCAAAGTTGTTGTCTAAGTGCAGAGTAAATAGGACCAACCAAGAAAAATAATCTGTGAGATCTCTGCCAAAAACTGGTTGCTGTTCTCAGAGTATGTGCACGCGCAGCCTCATAAAAGGAACAACCTAGAACATCTGTTACTCTGATCACTAAAGGTGAGCTTCCATGCCCTTTGCCCTGGCATGTCTCCTGGCAGAGAGAGAAGGTAGAGAGGGCATATTGGGTCCTTGTTATTTAATTGCATGTTGGTCTAGCAGAAGTTCAGCCAGTTTAAGAAAAGAAAGCAAACTCTTGCCATCCAAACTACACGTCCTCCATATTGAATTGATATTTTAAAAATTCTTTATCATTTTGATTAATCCTATCTGGCTTTCAGTTTAGGATTTGGGCTTCCACAGACTGCTAATAGTCCCATCTAAAGTATCTTTAATAACTCGTGGTGTTGAGCAAAGGGCAGAGAGAAAGGAAGATGAAATTAGGAAAACAGTGTTAAATTCTGAGAATGGGGGTTAGGATTCTACCCCTTCTCTTAATCCCTTAAGGAAGTAGAATCTCTGTCCTGTTGGAAGTACAGATGGGTGTCTTCTCAATCAACCAGATTAGAGTTAGGCAGAGTGAAAGTAGTGGGGGGAAAGGCAAGAGAAGAATAAACAGGATTTGATGCCTCAATGTGGAGGGTGAAGGAAAGGGAAAAATCAAAGACGATCCGTCCAAAGTGTCAAGATTGGTTGAAGAACCACTATTAACAGAAACAGGAAGGTAAGCAGTAGAATTGGCTTTAGGGGAATTCAATTCAGTATGAAACAGTGGCACGCCCCGTCCTCAGAAGGCGATTGTCATCGGGCTTCCCTGAGCTCCTCAGGTTAAGCCAGAATGATTGCCTCACATCATTCCTGAGAATCGCCAGGGCACAGACACCAGGGGAGGCACAGCTACAGTCTTAGAGAAAATGAAGGAAATGTGGCATCTCTGAGGTCCTGCCTCAGCGGTGAAGTGCAGACATTCTGAAGCCTGACTCCCTAGGTTGGAACCCAGGCTCCCCTCTTTACTAACAGTGTGACCTCGGTCAACATACTTCCTTTCCCTGCATCTCAATTTCTTTATCTGTCAAATGGGGATTACAATGAGGTGGTTATGAGGATTTAAATAATTAGTTAATGGTAAGTAGTTAATTAATTACATAGGTAAAATAATTAAGTTAATTACTTAGGTAAAATGTTTAGGGCAGTGCCTGGCACACTGTGAGTGAGCATGTATAAATGTATTTTTAGCTCCTCTAGTTTGGAGGGGCACGTTCATACCTGTAAACCCAGCTAATCTCTGAGGACCAGCTTATCTACTACTTACCCAGATTGTTTTTTCCCAGTGCAGCAATTACCCACAATTTTTCACCCTCAGGAAGAACCAATAACAGTATTTTGATAAAGCTTTGCATGAAGCATTTCTCCTTTGGTTTTCTAGCTGACATAGGGATTAAAAAGAACTATCATTCTGACCTTTATACTTTTTAAACCGTCAGTTATATTAGGTAAAAGTCTAAGGAATGAGAATGAAAGATATCAGACCCTTATTTCTGATACCGATGAGACCTCCTGGTTCCTGGCCTCCATTTCCTACCTACTTATCATTTCTGGTTTTTCAGGTGAAACCAGACGAGGGTCAGGAAGAGTGAAAGGTGGGGGAGAAGCATAAAACCTGTGTCCTTAGCCTATAACTTAAAGCCAGAACGTGCATTTCAGGTTAGGAATGCCCATTCGTCGTGCCCTTGTTTTTATAGAGCTTGTTCGAAAGTTTATTTTTGTCCCAGAGCACAGCTATTTACAACAAGCCTATTATAATTGGCCATTGACACTCTGATATTTTAAATTTTCACAGAAGCTGCCAGAGCAAGACAGGGCGAATGGAAGCAAAAGCCTTCCTAAGGATAACAAGGCAGAGAACAGTAATGCACAGAATCACTTCTTCCAAATAGGCTGATGAAACTACCAACACTCATTTGCATAAGTTCTAGATTACCAACAAGTTTCTTCTTTCTTCTTAGGTGACCTTGAACAGAAATTCGAACTGGAAATCAGTCCTCTCTGTAACCAACAGAAAGATTCGATCCCTAGTATACAAATTGGTGAGTCGAATTCAATTTTAATTTTAAAGGAATATTTTCAGCACCTCTGCCAAGCATCACAAAGAAAAGACGATCTACAGGAAGGGTTTGAAAGGCCCAAACTAGAGCTTTAATCAATGCCCCTGTGAATGACTGAGTCCAAATAAACACCGTAATCATGACTAACCTACTGGGTAATTACCAATTGAGAAGTAATGAAAGCTTGGGTAAAGGCTTTATTATAAACCCTTAACTAACCTTTATTAACTTCATTAACTAACCTTTATTAACTTCATATTTCAGAATTAAATCAAAACCAAATAGAGTAGAAGGAACGTCATAAGAATCAACTCTTTGCTGCTGAGGAGCAGATGAGTTCACATTCTCTTTAGGACTTAACGGGTGGGAAGTCAGCAGGATCGGCCTTTAGGACCATCCCAGTTTGGATAACTGTGGCTCGTCCCCAGCATTCCACCTCCAGAGCTCAGGCCCAGATCCATCCCGGCCCTGCCAGCCATGCGATGCCTTGTGGCCTGGGTTTCTGTGCTTCTCTGCTCTCCTTCAAAACTTACCTTCAGTCCCACTCTCCTAAGCCCACACTCTCAAGTGTCCATTGCACTGAACTGTTAAACTGTGATGTTAATGAATCTAAAATAATTATTACTTTTAAAAAGTTATGTATAAGATGGTTAAGCAAAGCAAACTGGACATTTTAGGTACCTTAGGGGGGAAATATTTTTGACCCAGTAAGAATTTCCATCACTCCTTAAACACTCTACCAATTAATTCCATCTACATATTATGAAGCATGTTTTTCTTTTCCTTACAGTGCCCTCCAATTAAAACCACTCAGAACTTTAACATCTATAATATAATAAAAGCATTATATGCTGATTAGACCGGACCCCCTTCTGGACAAAGCCAGGGCTGCTGTGAGGGCCAAGGCAGCCACCTCGGCTGTGAGGGCCAAACCCCTTGCATGAATTTCGTGCATCGGGCCTCTAGTTTTACTTATAAGCAATGGCCCTAACATGTACCAGTTCATGTTTTTCACCAGTTTCCACAGGCCTCAGACAGCTTAGTGCATTCACAAAGTTGCAGACCTCAGAGCCTCAAAGCTTAATGCCCTGACACTGGGAGGGAAAGGGCACCAGAAAAAAATAAGCTTAAAATTGAGAAAACCAGAGCAAGTTAATATGATATGCTTACAGTTGAGAAGAGATAAACCAAAGAACTTACATACTTATATGTATATCCCATAGACGCAGACAATAGTGCGGTGAAAGCCTGGGGGGCGGGGGGGGTGTGTGGATAGGGGCTTGGCAGAGGAGGGGAAAGGGGGGAAAATAGGGGACATCTGTAATACTGTCAACAATAAAAATATTTCTTAAATGATTCACTTATGATCGCTGAAATTCAAATCAAATCCTCAGTCCCATAAAATAAGATGAAGTAATCCTAAGGAAATAGGAACAAAATTAACCTAGTTTCAAAGAATTGAATGGAATCTACAAACATTAAGATAAATATGTTGGAATTATGAGATTATTGGTTGTCCTTTTTTTCCTTAATATTGTTCCGTTGTTTTTACCATTAAAGTGATTCCTACCCAAAAAAAGGAAAGGGGGTTTTATTAAAAATTGAACCCAGGAAGAATCCGGGGCAGGTGAAGCCACAGAATTGCTAGGAGAGGGGAGGAGGAACAGTGTTAACAGAAATGCAACCTTGGCCTCCCTGGACCCAGCTCCCTCCAGTCGAGGTTCCACAAATGTGATTCAAAAGGAATACACCCCGACCAAACTCCTAATCCACTGACCCACTTTGTTAAGCTCTGGAGAGAAAAACTTGCCAGGCACCTGTGAAAGACACTTGGCACCACCAAAGAAAAACATTCACATTGTTAAGCACACAACCTGGATTTTCACGATGAAGCTGATTTCAGAGATTCTATCCTGTTGTCATGAGAACACATTTATTTTGTCAGATCATACATCCTGATTTTCAGCTCAGGAAAATGTGGTTACCATAGATACCTGTTTTTAAAATGGGATGGGGACTAAGTGACTAGGAAAATCCCCTGGCTGCTACACCAGCACACCAATAATAAAGAGAAAAAGAAGGTGATTATAAAACAATCCTTAGTCATATATCTTTGTCTCTGTTTCACATCTCCCAGCTGTGTAGGTTCAGGCTTGGGAGCTGTGGTGTGTAGAGCTAGATCAGAATGAACTGAAAAAATCCAAACAAATAGATAGAGTCCAATGGGGGCTGCAGGCCTCAGCGTCCCAGACAAAGGTTTTCCCAGTGGGTCCTAAGTAATGCAGCAATTTCCTCTGTCTTGGTTCCCCTGGGACTGAAAATGTCCTCTCTCTTTTCCCAGTCGCAATCCACATGGGAATTTCCTGAGTGTCATCCCAGGTTTAGATCTGATTTTCTGTTTAAGTCGTTCATATTCACCCAAGTGGAACTGGGACTTCCTATCTCCTACCCCACCCACCCCACCCCTGCTCTCCTCTCCATCAAACTCTACCTTTTGAAAAGAAGATATTGGATTGAAAGAATCTCTGGTGACATGTGTAGAAAGATGAGGAGAAGAGGCTTTCCTTCAATCCTTGTTTACTCTAAGGCCGCCATCTCTCCTTTCCCCCTTCCCACCCCTTCAAGAGGACAATATCCTGGCAAAGTCCGTTTGCGTAGCAGAGGGAGGTTCCCAAGTCTGGTCCTGCGTTAAAATGAAAGCCTGCACTCATCTGAAAAACAGTCTGTCGTTCAGACTTTAAAATGGCTTTCCTATCTTCTGTAAGAGGTTTTTATACAGGGCAAGTGGAAACACAGAGGTGTAATTCTGGAGTACCTTCAGGAAGAAAATGAGTTGATTTTTAAGTATTGGATTTTAAAATGTTGGCTTTGTCATGTTTTTATATTTAAGGTAAACTTGATAAATATTTACATCTAAAACATTATCGTTTTGCAAACTATCTTTTTAGATATCTAATCTTTGTTAAGATGAAAGATATTAGAAACTAGATATGGAGATTGTGAAGGAGGTGAAGAAAATTCAGGAATAGGAAGCAAGAAAATTCAAGAATGAAATACTTACTTGCTCACTCCCTACATAACCTTATTAAAATACAGACATAGCCCTAGCTGGCTTGGCTCAGTGGATAGAGCATCAGCCTGCAGACTGAAGGGTCCCAGGTTCGATTCCAGCCAAGGGCACATGCCTGAGTTGCGGGCTCGATCCCCCGTGGGGGGTGTGCAGGAGGCAGCCAATCAATGATTCTCTCTCATCATTGATGTTTCTATCTCTCTCTCCTTCTCCCTTCCTCTCTGAAATCAATAAAGAAATATATATTCTTAAAAAATACAGACATAAAGTCACTGGCTTAACTTTCCTCCTCAGTTTGGGTTATCTAAGATGATCTCATAATATTTAAATTATATTTCACCTAAGATGAGATAATGCAGAAATGTACAGTAACATTCTGCATTGCTACATCCTCTTCCCATCTGTATAGCATCCTCAAAGGCCAAGGATCTACTCTTTGTCTAATGAAAAGATAATCAAATCCAGCCTCATAATGCACATGCTTGTACACATACAGGATGAGTTGGTGGAAGATTATTTTGCTGAAAAACACTTGCCTTTTCTCCCCGCACCTACATTTCAAGGAAATAACAATAAAACCTAAATATGTATATGTTTGTGATCATTCTAATAATTCCTGCCTAGACTGAAAGTTATCTTTACTTTCATAAATTATGTTTAATATGAAACACACATTAAGAGTGAAATATGATTAGAAAGCAACAAGTCTAAAATAATTAAGAGAACAGGCATGCAAAAATAGAAGTCTAATATCAAACAGTCTTATCTAATTAAACCAAGACTTTTATGTACATAAAAATCTGTATTGAAGATGAACTTTTATTTACCTACTGTTAGTTGTTTAACATAATTGAAAGTAAGACAAAACTATGAAAGGATAATCCTTAAAAAAGGTTCTACAGGCTAATGTATGAATTCTTCAGACGGCCTAAATCAGTGAGGTGCCCCTTGCTGACTTCATTTTCCCTTTCCTGCCTCCCCACCCATCCTCCTCAGTTCTAGCACAGACTTCCTTCCACTTGTTTGTTTATGTCTTTCTCCCTCTGTGAGGAATAATAACCAATATTTACTGAGTGTTTACTGTGTGCCAGGAGTTTTCTAAGCATTTTACATGTGTTAAGCCATTTCTTTGTCATAACAACCCTGTGGGGCTGGTACCCTTCTTAACTCCCTTTTACAAATGAGGAAACTGAGGCACGGGGCGGTTAAATGCCACGCCTAAGAAGACATAGCTCATGCCCCTTGGCTGCGGGTAGGAACCACATTTACTTTGCCTCCATATCCCCGGGCCGAATACATAGTGGGCCCGGTCGTGTCTGTGAGGGAGAAAGGAGTATGTTTTCCTGCCCTTGTGGTGATGCGTGTGGCCTTGCCTGTTTCAGGTTTCATGACCTACATCGTGGAGCCACTCTTCCAGGAATGGGCCCGTTTCACCGGAAACAGTGCCCTGTCTGAGAACATGCTAAGCCATCTTGCACACAACAAAGCCCAGTGGAAGAGCCTGCTGCCCAAGCAACACAGAAGCAGTGGAGGTGGCTGTGCTGGTGGCAGCCCAGACCACACAGACCACGGGACTGAGAATGAGGAGCAGACTGTGACTGAAGGCATCGCCCCCTAGTGCCAGCCAGGCCTGCCCCCTGCTCTGCACACAGAGAATGAGAACCGCCTTGAGCAGAGACCTCCTGAGAGGGGAGTTCTAGGAGCTCTTCACCATTAACCCAGCCACTCTCTGGGTTTCATCCTGGGGCTCTTTGGAATGCCACCTTGCTCCCACTCACCTGCCTCCCCTCCTTCTTCCAAGTGTACAGAAGCCATTCATCACCTCAGCATTAGCTGCCGAAATGAGCAACTCCATTCAGTAACATGGGAGCCGAGTCCAGGGGCAGGCCTGCCCCTCACGGAGAAGACTGGGAGAAAGAAAGAGGTGCTACTGCCATGTCCCCACGGCCCTGGGTCACACTGTGACAGGCAGCAGTTCCTAAGTCCAGAGCATTTTAGCATTTGTCATCTGACTGCTGATCTGCATGACAAAAACACCAGCATATTTGGAACTCCAAGGATATTGGTCTTAAGTGCAAGAGCACAGATGAGAGCATGAGAGAAAGAACCTTCTATTTTAATAATAATTATTATTATTATCAAATAATAATAAATCTTTTTAACTTTTATATTTTATGCACTAGACAATGGATCTAAAACTTTGGACTAAGACCCAAACTTGAACAGGGGGTTCATCGTTTTGTTACTGACTTTATGCCACTTTGGGTCAGAGATTTGGCATCTTCTCAATTTAAGAATCCACGTTTCCTATCCAATCCGAGGGGAAGGTGCTGTACAGTTCATTCCTTTGCACCATTAGCCAATCTATCTTTTATCAATAACTCAGTTTCAATGACATGTTTATATTCACCACATGTATATTTTCTGTAAATACCAAGCGCTACTGATTCCCATGCCAAAATACATGAGTATTATGGGATTGCTACCTGTATAAACAACGGCACTGTGAACAGAATCCTGTTAGTTTTAATACAAGAGAATGCATTTGTAAATATGGTATAGAGTTTATTAATATACTATTGTTTGCAGATAAAGGCCTTAACTTTAAACATCTTTCATCTTCTGAAAGCTGCCCAACTTCAGTCCTCACAGATGTCCTTCTGAACTTCCTTCCCCTATCCATCTTTCTGCATCCCAGCTAAGGTCACAAATCAAACCCAATAAAGTCTTGGAGGAAAGATTCTGGAAACTTCACGTGCATTCCACTTGAGACCACAGCATTTGATCTGTGGCACCAAGCATCATTTCCTCAGATTAACAAGACCCTTCGGCCAGCCTGAAGTCACTTTTCAACGCAGCGATGTTGCACATTCTGTCCCCCGAGCCCCCGATGAGCTTGTGTTTATGTGACTCTTGTCATGGAACATGGCAGTGGGTCAGCCTTGCAGGAGACATGGCAGGTCTCAGGAGTCTCTATGGCCCTGTCACCTAAGCGTCAGGGAATTCCCTGCCCGCCGCCCACCCTCCCGTTCATGACTGTAGTACCAAAGCACCTTTGGTTAATGGTTGGCGTGCATTTCTTTGGTGTTCGTCATAACTGGATTTTTCTTTTTCTGTAATTTCATGTGAATAGCTACCCCCCTGTTTAGCTGAAGATGGGTGACGCTATTTAAGTAGAGAACATATTTTCTCACAGAATTTACCTTTCTGGCAGGCATTCTGCTGAATCACGGCTGTCACTAGCAGAATCAGCTGGGAATTTTGTGGCCATTTTTCTTCTGCACACACTTGGCTGTAATTCAGCTTGTGACAGTCTTCTCCAGCCGGCTAACCTTTGTGCATTGAACCTTCTGTGTAGCAGCCCCAGCATCACTAACGTTAGGCGAAAACCGGCACTGTCCTTTCTCTTTACTGTAAACGGGGTGGAGGTGGAGGTGACTTTATGATAGTGTCTGCCGCTATCCAGCTGTTTCACAATAGAACGCCGGTAACTCTCCATTTCCTACGTGCGGCTTTCATTTCTCCTAACACAGAGATGAAATGTTGGAAACTTGACGGGACTGTACGAAGTTCCTGCAGAGAGACTAAGGCTTTGGAGTTAAGGTTTAGGAAGAGTTGGGAACGTTGGTTATCGTTTTATTAAATATGGAGAGATTGTCAGATCGTAGTAAAGAAAGTGTGGAAAACTCATGAAATGGATGGATTTGATAAGTTGAAATAGTTGGTAGGGGTAAGAAGGGAAGTTGTGGAAACTTAACACTAACTTTATTTTTTTCTGTAATAACTATGACCTGACAGAGGATTCTTTAGTGCTGTAATACTCGGAAGCTCTCAGCTTGGTAGGGCCCCAAAAGGGAAGATGTTGAATGTATTCCTGCTTCCAAACCTCACTTGTGTTGGTTTGATGATGCAGAAAGGGCTTTTGAGTCGTCTGTTTTTAATGTCCATGAGGTCAAAGCAAGGACAGCAGCTACTGGGGACAATACAGTAGAGATTAGAAAGAAAAGGCTAGTTTAGCTCTACCTTGACTTTAGGAAATGGACTTTGTTTAAATTATATTTATATTGTATCTTAAATAAATAATATTGGGGGCGTTTTTACTAGTTCCAACTTTATAGGGCCAAAGTATTTATGCGACAATTAGGTCTTAAAGAAAAAGTCACGGAGAAAACTACCAAATATCCAGGGGGTAAGCCTATGGAGCAGCTACTGGTGCAATAACAATCAGAAGTAAAATGAGACATGATGCATTTGTGGCATTTGTGGCCTCCGTTCAGTCATCTGGAGATTTCTTGAGTTCTTTATTTTTAGGCAAAACAAGAGAATGTGAAAACATTTCTTTCTTGCCTACCAGTAGCTCTCTTGCAATATTTCAGTGGAAGGAGTCCAGTTACTAGTCAAGACACAGCTGCAGACCATCCATGGACCTTGTCTTCACATTCTTCTTCTGGTCCATGGGCCACCGACAGCTGACGTGACTTTAATTCTTTCATTGCTTGAGAAGAAAGGGTCAAAGGGCTATTTTTAGTAAGCAAGGTAAAGTTGAAATCAAATTAAAAGAGAGAAAGAGAATATATAACACTGCCAGGCCTGGTAGGCAAAGCCTGCTTTTCTTTGTAACAGCCTCTGTGAATAGTTCAAACCTTGTTCATGAATCCCTGACCCACCCATAGCCTGCGAGGCTGAGTCAAGATCCCAGTTTCTAGTGCTTAAGGCTTCCCGCAAGGGGACTCAGAGCGCATCCTGCAACACTGTCCTTATATAGTGCTTCCTACAAAATGCAGGCCTGTTTTGTAACCTTTTCTCATGTAGAATCAGATATGCTCATTGATTTGAAAATTGGTTATGAGCTTGTATCTCACTGTATTTCTTACGCTTTGTTCTTTTAAGCAAATCCTTAAAATTGTGTTGTTTTGTGTACACAAGTAAGTTTTGGGGAGGGGAAAAAATAAACACCTTGTGAGTTTTTGCTCAAAATGTGGCCTAAATATCCATTGGCATGTCTAGATAAACAATCAAAATAAAGGTAATTTCTTAAAAATATAACAACATGCTAATATCCTGATTCTCACCAAGTAACATGTTACCAGCTATCCAATTGGATTCAACAAAAAGGATCCCGTGCTAAGTAGAGGAAACATCCAAGAAAAAGAGCACAGATGCAGATATGGGCCATGAGACTTCTTCCACAGGGGGGTTGCAGAAATGAAACCGTCCATACTGGGCTTTTCTTTTTTTCCCACTTAAGCCAGAGAGATGATTGGAACAATTTTAAGTTTTAGCTGGTATGGTTTGAAAATTGCCTGTCTTGATCATCTAAGCAACGACGTATTTTCTTATTCAATTGCCTGACATGCTTTAAATTCTAATATTCCAAGGGCTGATTTATTCTTCAGTAATTTTCCCCATTTAAGGAAGCAATATGGTAGAGGTTTAAAAGTGTGGCTTTGGAGTCAAACTGAGGAGAATTCAAATCACTGTTAATCATTTGCTATTTAACCCCAAGTAGTTAATTTAATCTTTCTGAGCCTCCTGTATAAACTGAGAGTGACACCTACCTCCCAGAGTGCGGTCAACATTTGAGACATACATAACGTATAGTTTCTAGCAGAAGGAGTGTACTCAACAAATGTAAATGTCTATATATTTTAAAGAAAAAAATCTACAAAGTGGGAGTTGGGATACATCTTTTGCTTTCTCTAGGTTGTACAATTTTTGTGCAACAGGAAACACAAGACCAATTAATAGACACTGAACATGATTGTAACTACAGGTGACCAACATGACTGTAAAATAATCCTTATAATATGAACAAAATGTTATAAAAGTGTATGATAGAAGACGAAAGTGTTCCTATGGAACTAAATACCTAAGATCAGAGAAAATAAGGAGCTATCTTCTTTTTTTAATATGTTTTTATTGATTTTAGAGAGGAAGGGAGGGGGAAAGAGAGAGAGAAACATCAACATTGATAGGCCACCTCCTGCACATCCCCTACTGGACTGTAACAGCCCATCATGGACTGTTTCATAGCAAACAGCTCCTTGTTCACTCGTCTGTTACATTCTCATGGAGGCAGGACTGAGTCTGCTGCAGTCTTTCCGCCCTAGGGTTCAGTTATCTGGAGAAGGGGCTGCGTATAAATGGATAAACTAGACATGAAATATAAATTTGGGAGGCATGTTGGGGGAGCCATTGGAGGCTTGGCTCTAGTGACTAAGCTCTCTGAATGTCCGGACCCACGGCTTTTTATTCACACGTTCTGCCCTTTAGCAAAGCAGATACACATATCCAAGGTACAGTCCAGGTAAACAGTAATGGACCATCACGTTAGGGGAATTGCCTTCAGCTGTTCCAGCAGCAGGTAATAACATGCAGATTTTCAGCCCTGCTGAATATGTCCACTCAACCTTTTGAGGACTTCTCGCATTTATTATGACCTGCTGGGAGTCTCCTCTCTTCTCTGATGGGATGTTAAGAAGTGTCCTACGCTTCTAAGTGATGGGGATCGAGCCCACAACCCAGGCATGTGCCCTGACTGGGAATTGAACATAACCTCCTGGTTCGTGGGTTGGTGCTCAACCACTGAGCACATGGGCCAGGCCGGAACTGTCTTTTTTTATGTTAAAGTAAATACTCCTCAGTCAGCCAGAGTGAACCAACCTGTTTAATCTACTCCTTCCCTAGAGTCCATGACAATACAACCCGGGCTAGAGAGAAGGTTTACCTAATAAATAAAACTTGATGGTTGTGAATTCCACTCACATCCTACAATCCTCTGATGTTTCCAGTGGCCCTTCCTCTCATAACTTCAGATCCTTTCTGGATACTGACAGCAGAGGCAGAGAAATACAGGGTAGTCTCTGTAAATAGATGACCCTACAATCTAGTTCACTCTTCTAAGCTAACATTTTCTATGCCGGGCTGTGGCTGGGGTCTCTTCTTCAAGTCCCGCAGGGAGAGAGAGACGTGGACCAGTTGGTTTAAGTTAGGAGGCGCTTTTGGGATTAAGGAAAAATGAATTGGACAGATACAAAAATAGATTAAAGGCTTGGGCTGGGTGTGGCATCTGCCCTCTCGTGGAGGGACAGACAGAGAGAGCCAGCACCGGAAGCAGTTTTATTTATACTCGAATTACAGGAAGTTACATCACATCTGGGTGGGCCTTGAGCTCCTGGCGACATCACGAGATCCATTTCCTTAACACTGGGCCAGAAAGTCAGACTGAGTGGCGTCCAATCTTTTGACTGGTCCCACCCTCAGGGCATAGCTCTGCCTTCACTCTGAGTTTCAGCTGAAGTAATGGGCCCTGAGCAATTTTCAATATTGCTTTAAAATGTGACAAAGGTATTCTTTAAGTGTTCCCTGAAGAAAAAATGGCTTCAAACCCAAAGAGTTTGAGAAACAATGGGTTTAAGACACAGGTTCTCTCCTGCAGCCTCGTGCTAAAGGAGAGGATGGGAGTGATCTCATTTGTTTGGATCTAATTGTGGTTTCACATCACAAAGGCCTCCTTGACCCATTCATCATTTATCACATTACCTCCCCATTTATCATTTGCCTTAATATTGCTAGTGACTACTAGTAATTTATTATTATTGATATATATTGTGTGTTCTACCCAATGTGAGATGTAATATAACAATTGTGGTTAATTCACCTGAGTTTGTGGCTTGATTTTACTACTTACCAGGTGTCTGACCTTGGGCAAGTTTCCAAACATTTTTTGCCTCAGTTTCTTCATTGGTAAAATGATGATAAAAATATCACCTATTTCATAGAGTAGCTAAAGATTAAAAGAGTTTGTGCTTGTAAAGCACTTTGAATGGTACCTGACACATAGAAGTCACTCAGTAAGTGTTGGCAAAAGCCATCTCCTTCTCTTTCACCTGTGCACAGCTCTCATAGACCTGATCCATAAGCTCCTTGATAACAGGAATAACTCCTTGGTAACAGGAATAACTACCTTATAAATATAGTCTCCATAGCGTAACACAGAAGGTACAAAATAAATACTTAAATGAAAAAATATATTTTTGATTGATAAGTTGAAAATCACATCAGAATAATATGCTAATATTTAAATACAAGCAAATAAGTTCTGATGGTAACAATAAACGTCCCAAGAATTTGAATGCAGATGTTGTTTTTCTCTCTGGTAGTCTTATTTGTTTCTAGGAACGTGGTTGAGAAAGATAATAGGTTTTCTCCTGTCCGTTTATAAGCCTACTCTTCCAAGTGATGAGGACTAAGAGAATGCCCCCGAAAGACTTGATGTCCAAAGACCGCTAGTTTTTCTCCCTTCCAACTGGAAAAGAAGCCGACAGAAGGACCACAAAGTGCTTTCTGTGAGGGAGCAAACAAAAGCCCCATTTTAATACCCAATCCAAGAAAAGACAGAGGCAAATGCCAATCCTCATCTTTAAAAGAAACTCATCATAGCAGATGAGTCTCCTGCTCTGTCCTTGTTCACGAGCACCC